TATTTCCAAACCCTTACAATTTGATTGCCAATTCTATCTGCAAAAATGGTAAAATTGAGTTAGGGGAGTAGTGCGATGATGGATAATAAGATTCATTTTTAATGTAGTGCACTTTCATCTTATTATTATAGGTGTGATCAGAATTGTTAAATTAGAGAAGGCTACCATTAAAATTTTATGGGAGAATAAGCAATAATTTCAAATTCATGCTATAACTCAGTAACAAACTAATGCTACCATAATAACAAGAATCCATAAACGCAAAAAGTGGATTCTGGCAATGGGTATGCATTATTGAATTTTAAATGATGATAGTTGCGATTCTTAATGTCAGGTTGAAAATGATCACTATTGTATATCTGATAGCTCTATATTTAAATGCTTCAAGAGATAGCACTACCTTAAAATAAATGTAAACTTAATTTCATAACCCAACTCATATTTTAAACATAGTAAAAATAAGAAAAAATCAAAGATTCATCCTTCAGCTCATAAAGCTGCGACAAGAAAGATGGAATACTTGGAATAGGTGAGGAGTGTGATGATGGTTTGATCGATCAAAATGACCATTAATATTCAGGGTATTTTATAATTTTTTTCATCCAAATTTTAATCATATTTCTTTTAGATGTAATGATAAGTGCAAAGTAAAATAAGGTTGGACTTGTTCTCAAGAATAAGGAAAGCAATCCATATGCTTTTAGGGATGCAGTAGATATGGCTTTTAATGCTTAGATCAAAATAGTATTGCTGGTGATGGGTAAGTATCAATCATGAATCACACCTTCATATTATAATTCAATAAGATAACTAATTTCTATAAATATAGATGCGATAACTATTGCCAAATCGAGGATGGGTACTCATGCGTGCTGAATATTAACTCAGTAGATTCATCAGCAAAGTTCTTCTGTTACAACTAAAATGAGATCAATTAATAAATACTGCCAGCACAGCATTAAACTGTTTAATAACTAAGATACTTAGAAGAATCAACCACCGAGTCCACAACTGCTCCAGTGACCACCGATGAATAACCTACAACTTAAGATGCTACAACAACCATAGCTGCATCAACAACCTAAGCTGGATCAACAACTGTGACAACAACAATCGCCCCTACCACCGAGTCCACAACTGCTCCAGTGACCACCGATGAATAACCTACAACTTAAGATCCTACAACAACCATAGCTGCTTCAACAACCATAGCTGCATCAACAACCATAGCTGCATCAACAACCAAAGCTGGATCAACAACTGTGACAACAACAATTGCCCCTACCACCGAGTCCACAACTGCTCCAGTGACCACCGATGAATAACCTACAA